GCAGACACCACCCTGTAACCAATCCAGCGTTTCTGTACTTCATTGCCGATTTATGTGGGTATTTTTCCTTTTTTTTTTTTTTTTTTTGTCTATAAATCTTTCACCCCATGGCTGTGCTGATTTCTCTGTGAGTCTGCTGTGATTCTGTGGGCTGTCTGATGAATTGTTCATTGCTCAATTAAACTCCTTCAAATGTAATTCAGTTGAAGTTTTTCTTTTATCAGAGGTAACAGTTGTGTTAACTGAGTTGATTGTGGGAGTCATTTCACAAATTATATGCATATCAAACCATCACATTGTACACCTTAAACACATAATTTTATCAACCATACCTCAATAAAGATGAAAATTTTAATATGTTAATATATACATTTTAAATATATACATCATAATGTGTGCCTATGAGTCTCAAAGTACTATAAAAATAGTTGATATTTGCGAAAGAAAATGCTAAGTGAATATGGTATATGCTATATATACGAATGTATTTATACTTAGCATTTCTTTTGCAAATATCAACTACATTTATAGTACTTTCAATCTATCTTTTTTCACAGAAGAATGTTTATATAAAAGTGACTAAGAAAGATAGTCCCACCTTGAGAAGCAGATGTACTGTTAAATAATAATGAAGATAATATAGCACTACTTACTTCCAACTCTTCTTCAAGGGAGATTGATTTGAAAGTCATGAGAGTATCACATTATTAATGGTGATTTAAATTCCATTAAGCAGTAAAGTATCTGGACACTTTCAATATAGTCAAATGAGTGCAATATGATCTTCTTAATTACAATCTGGAGTATGGAAACACACTTAAATTGGCTCATAGGACGACTGCAGACAAGATTTAAGGAGTTTTAGAGACACACACAAAAAAATTGCTGAAAATTTGGAAAAAATTCTCTAGTATTTAAAATGTGAAAAAGATAATTTCCTATGTATATTTCAATGTAAGTCAGTGACTTTGCTTTCAATACCTGAAGAAAAAAAAAAAAAAACATTAAAAACAAACTTTGACAGAAATACTTTTTCAGCACATAGCATAGTAATCACTCTAAGAATAATCACTCTGATTCAGTATTGGAACACGAAAAATCAAAAATGAGTCGTAAAAAACCCTACCATTTTACTTTTTGAGAAAATTGATTAGGTTACACATTTTGAAAAGGCATATAACTTAGGGTTTCTGATTTTCAGTAAGACATTTAATAATCTTTTAAGTCATTCTGTGTGTGTGTGTGTGTTTATGTGGAAAAGAGATGAATGTGAAATAATGACAGATTTGGTATATCTAAAACTTTTGAGCAGTTATGTCTCCTAAAATTGACATGCTTAATTTGGAAAGAAGTTCAGACTCTGTTATTCATCTTTTCCTATTTCATGACACATAAGCATCCTAAATAAGACAAAACTTGTATCGTTTAGCTTTTAGCTATGTGTAATAGAATTTACACTAAATGTATCTTACGTAATCCATGATAATTTTTGTCCTAGCTCAATTATGTCTTTTTTCATCATCAGTCTCTATACAAGGAAAGGGACATCTTTGTGGTTGTTAAAAAGCCACAAACCTTTACACAGCAGTGTTTTATGCTGGAATAAAGAAAGAGGGCCAAAGGACTTTCTGTTTTCCAAACCATTCATTATCAGAAAAGAAAATCTTGCACAGAAGCTCCCAGAAAACTTTTTATGTGTCATTGGTCAGAATAGAATCATACGCCTCTCCTAAACCACGAAATGCCAAATTAGAACTTTGATATGGTTTGTTCAGACAATTACGATTGATATCCTAGGTTCGGGCATGTGGTCAACTAAAAGAAAATAAAAGTGAGTTCTGCTAAGGTGAAGAGAAGAGATATTGGGTGTTTCATAAGCAAGCAACAATATCTGTCATAATTAAACACATTCTAATAATGTAATAGTTAAAAGGATAGCTACTATTTTGGATATTTAAATCAAGATTTAAAAAGCTCCCAAAAGCTTGAAATAATAGATTAAAATTTAAGAAAAAGAAAAGACATAAATAATTGTAGAATATTTTACATTTTACCATTTACATTCAACTACATTGAAAGTCAATTTGCTTAAAACTACTTGAAATGAGAAGATACATGTAATTTTGTTTGACTAACACATTCACTGAAATTAGTTATTAAGATTAAATTGAAACCTAACACAATGTAAGATTGTATTTATAGCATCATTTCCATCTTACATTGCTTAAACTCCAAACGAGGCTAGATTGTAGCTAGAATAATGTTTTCCCATCTTGGGATACATTATAAGGAGGGGCTATTTTTAAACTGAAGCACAAAGCGAGAAGAACATCCATGAAAACTAAAGAAGAAGAAAATATTCTAAAAGCTGAAAGTATTTAAAGAGAAGAGAGAAGACCCAACATTTCGTGACAACTATCTCCAAATTTAGAAAGACTTTCATATGGAAGAAGAATCAGGGTTTGGTGTTTTTTGTTTTTTTGTTTTTTTTTTCCTTAATTCCTCCTGCATGCCTTTTACTGAGCTCTTTCTCTGCTAGGGCACCATGAAAACTCGGAGCATTTCATAGTGTTTGATGATTAAATCATAAATTTATTCCCTTTGTAAACACTGATTAAGAGAATAGTATTCATTAATTGCATTTTTTCACTGATTATTCTTTCACACCGAAAAGTTTGATGCAGACTGTTCACACTTTAGAACATAACATGAGCTCAGTCGATGTTAAGCAATATTTTAATTAAATAGTACAGATGGGAAAATTACCCATAGAGAAATTTTTGACTTAATTTTTGAAGAACATTTGGACAAAGTGCATTGTTGAAGATTGCACTTGGTTGCCTGACAAGACAGTAAGTTGCCTGTTTATTACAAAGCTGGAAAAACACTAAATATTTATTCATTCATTTATTTAACAGATGCTACCCAACTGCTTATGCATCCAGTTCTGTTCTATATATTGATGTTATAGCTATAAAGATAAAAAAGCAAATTCCTGGCCCTCTTACAGCTTGTATCATAGTGAAGAGAAAAGATACAAATAAAACAAAATGTGTTGCATAGCGTTAGTGCTACAAAGATGAATAAAGAGTAATAGTTAATTCTAGGAGTGCTGTTAGGTAGGGACAGGACTCCAAACATTCTGTTATGAGACAAGGAGAAAAACAAGAAAAAGAAATGAAAACAAAACACAAGATAATATGAGCATAAGTCATGTACAAAGTGGGATCTTGGATTTGAATGTTCGTCCCCCGCAAACTTCATGTTTGTACTTAATTGCCAACATAACAGGATTAAGAAGGGAGTCCTGTAAAGGGGGCTGTGTGCCTTTAGGAAAGCGCTTTCAGGAGGGGGTTTGCTTTTGAGAAGTCTTGCCCTCCCTTTTTCTTTCTCCCTCCCCCATGGGATAACATCGTACAAAGACCCTTACCAGATGCCAGAGCTGTGCTCTGAAACTTCCCAGCCTCCAGAACTGTGAGCCAAATACGTTTCTGTTAATTATACAGTACCCAGTCTGTGGTAGTCTGTCATAGTAACCCAACATATAATAAGACAGTGGAGAAAAAGCATTCCAATCTAGAGACCTTGAAGAGTCTGCTTAATATGTTCAAAAACTAGCAAAATAAGCGAAGTGAAGTACAGTAGGAAATAAGTCAGCCAGGCAGCCTGAGTCTAGACGATGTCTTTGAAGTCCTTACTAAGGGTATAGATGTTACTTTATTTAGCTAATGGATGCTCTCTCAGTGAAAAAAAAACCCAACTCATGAAGACTGTTCCCTTAATCATTGCTGCAAAGGGAAGAAATTCATTAACTAGCTGGATAACTAATCACATAATCAATTCTTTCTATCTCCTGATACTCTATATATCTTACTGGCCACTTTATATAGTCCAAATATGCAATCTTGTTTACCACCTGAAGATTCTCATTAAATCTGCAATTGCTTTCCATAGTCAGTGATATAATATGAATGAGAGCCCTCATGAATGGGACTTGTGCCCTTATCAAGGAGACCCCAGAGAATATCTTGCCTCTTCCCACCTGTGAGAACACATTAAGAAGAAAGCCTCTGTGAATCAGAAAGCAGGCCCTCACCAGATATCAAATCTCTCAGTGCTTTGATCTTGGACTTTGTAGCTTCTAGCATCATGAGAAATAAGTTATCTCTTATTTATAAGCCATACAGTTTGTGGTATTCTGTTACAGCAGCCTCAATGGACCAAGACAGTCAGTCACACTTCATTTACGATGGGGCATATGGTTCGATACTTATAATTTCTTATTTTTAAGTCAAGAGACTTAAGACATGCTGTTCTAAAATGCAGTTTCAATAATTAACATCTTTGAATTCATTTTAACCAAAAAGAAAACAAAAATGGGGTTTAGATCTACGTTTTTTAAATGTATCCCTTTACTTCCTTTGCTGGATTCGTTGGTAAGTCCCCCTGGCAACATGATGTACTGTGAAACCCAGTATTAAACATTGCCGTAAACAGAACAAGGACAAAGAGAAAATTCTGTAGCACAAAAAGGCTTCTAGGTGTTCCTCTGGCCCATGTGCTTATAGCTGGCTACAGAGTCACAGCAGCCAAAAGCCCTACAGGAAGAAGTATCAAAGCAGCTGTACTGAGGTTGCCAGCAAGCTAAAAACAAAATTTTTCTCAAATAGAACAATTATTACTGGGATCCATCTCACTGAAAATGCCAAATGTTTAGAATTAGGAAGTTTAGCCATCATAGACAAATGGTGTGCACTTAGGTCCAGGGTTGGACGTTGATGCCAAATTATGCATCATTAAGCAAAATCTAGATGCATGGTAATCGTGGTACACAGGGTAACCCTAAATTTTTTTTTTTTTTTTTTTTTTTTTTGCAGGGGGGTAAAGAAACACAAGTCTTTATTGGTAAATAGCTTACAATGAAATAAACAGAGCAGGGGTTTGTTAAAGAATAAAAACTAGGACAGAGGCTAGGTGTCTCTCCACCCCTGCCTCCGGACCTAAGCTTCAGCCCTCTGGCTGGACACTTTGGATGATGAGGACTTGATGTTGATGGGCAGCCCAGCCTTTCTCGAAACCTGAGGGGCCTCTGTCTTCCTGGACAGGTGTGCAGGCACCACCTTGGACCCACTGGCCTTAGCAGAAGCACCCTTGGCATTCAGCCCCTGCCCAGCCCTGCGGGCAGCTGCCCCTCTAGGGGCCTGGGCCTTGGCCTTGGCTACCAACTTCTTTTTGGTTGGGGAAGCAGCACCATTCTTGACCTTGCTGACCGTGGGTCTTGAACTCTTACTCCCAGCTTTGGTTTTCCTGCAGGCCTCAGCATCTCCTTGGCTCCTCCTGCTGCCTTTGGCCTCTGCCTTCCTGCTGAACCCGCTGGCACTAGAAGGGGCCCGCATGGCCTTGTCTGGCTTGGGGGGCACCTTCTGAGCCTCGCCTGGCTGTGCCTTGCTGCCTTGCTTGCGATCTTTTTCTGTGGCTGCGCCCGGCTTGAGAGGAGTGTTTTTTTGTTGTTGTTTGTTTGTGTGTGTGTGTGTGTGTGTGTGTGTGTGTGTGTGTGTGTGTGTTTGCTGTGTTTACTCGGTCTCAGCCCCGGCCACGGGGGCGGCAGCAGCCCAGCAGGTCCTGGGGGCGGGGGTGACCAGGCCACAGCACAGACATTTCCTTCTGGACAGACAGGCCCCGCAACCTCGCTGCCCGCTCCTGTGCCCTTTTTGGGTGGGTGAGAGGTGCTGACCTCTCATTCTGGGTTTCCAGGGGCTGCCAGTGAGGCTCCAACCTGGTTGTCCCAGCTGGGCTTCCCAAAGTGTGGGAGACAGAGGAGATGGGGCCTGGGGTGTGGGCCAAGACACAGCAGGGAGGGGAAAGGGCAAAGCGAGGGTAGAACAGAGCCCCCAGAGGGAGGCTCCAGCAGAGAAAGGGACAGGGAAATGAGGTGGCAGGAGCTGAGAATGGCTGGGGACAAGGAGTGGAAAAGGTGGGGAGGAGAGAGAGGGAGGGAGGGAGGGACGGAGAAGCATGTGAAAAACAAGGGAGGAGAGGGGGAAGACGGAAAGAAACGGGGAGCCGTTACTTTCTGGATGTCTGCTCCAGAGGGGTTCACTAGATGATCTCATAAATTAATTGGGTTGAATATTCCTGGAGGTTGATCTAGAGCACTAGTTCTCAAACTTTAGTATGTATCAGAATCACCTGGAAAGCTTGTTAAACACAGATTGCTGGGCCCTATTTCTACAGTTTCTGATAATTAGGTAAGGGCTGGGCTGGATAATTTGCATTCCTAACATATTTCCAGGGATTGAAATGTTACTGAATCAGGAACTACTAGTTGGAAGCACTAACCTATGGACAATTACTCGAGAAATTGAAAATTTGTCCTAAATAAAATATATGTGCCCACTCAACTGTTTTATTTAATAGAGACTAGGAGACTGAATATTATAATTACTTGCTTTAGATCTAAGATTTTTCAATGGAAAGTTTAGTCTGACTTTTAAAAATGATATTATTGTGATGGCTTACATTTATAGAGACTTGCATTTATCAGAAAATTTATAGATAACAGAATTATTTAGTACTCACAACTGTCTTAAAAGGCATTTCTATCCCATTTAATACGTGAAAAAAGAGTTTATATCAGGTTGTAAGATTACAAAGCTGCTGAGTGGCAGAGATATCAGAATCTGAATCTGACTTATTTTCCTTATGGCAGGGTTTTTCAGAATTTAATGTGCACATAAGGCATCTGAGAATCTTGTTAAAATGCAGACTCTGCTGATCATACAATCAATATATAATAGCAAAAAGTCATCAATATTATAATATTTTAAATGAACTAATATACTAAACCCAGTATTACTTGTATAATTTTAAATGGTAGTACATAAGGTGTGAAAAATATTTATGCCACCAAAATAAACTGTGTATAGCTCATGTGAATTGAGTTTTGAAAAAAACTATAATCTTTCAGTTTTATCAGACAAAAAAATAGAAAACATAATTTATCTTGTGTGGTTAATAGAAAAGTATATTCTCTTTTTAGTTAAGGCTAAGGAATTCAGCCCTTAAGTCTCAATATGCAATCAAAATAGGAATGGGGTCAGAATTGATGACTCATGCTTGTGATCACATAACTTTGGAAGGCCAAGGTGGGAGGATTGCTTGAGGTCAGGAGTTTGAGACCAGTCTGGACAACATAGCAATACCCTGTCTCTACAAAAATAAAAATAAGTGTGGCATGGTGGTGGATGCCTGTAGTCCCAGCTACTTGGGAGGCTGAAGTAGGAGGATTGCTTAAGTCCAGAAATTTTAGGCTATAGTGAGCTATGATCGTGCCACTGTACTCCAGCCTGGGTAACAGAGCAAGACCCCATCTCTAAAAATATAAAAATAAAAAATAAAAATAGGAATGAGGGAATGTGTTCTCTTTCCAAGATCCACAAGGGGGCGTAGTTTTAAGGGCAAGAACTTCCCATCGCCATATCCTCCTCCCATCTCTCTCCATCTGAGAGGCTTAAGGGTTTATGCTTAAATTTCATGGGCGTCGGAAAAAACTAAGAGTCAGTCAGTCCAGTGGAAGTTCTAAGGAACTCCTTTCATTGACCTGGGTCTTAGAGAAGGTGGGGGTTTCTCCCAGGTTAAAAGTTCCCTTCTTCCACACCCCTGTGGACTCCATGTTTGGGTCCCCTTCCAGGAACACTCCCTTTGTGGAAGCCATCTTTCTCTCTCCTGGATTTCCCCTTTGGGGTCCCCTTCCACACTCTCTCGTGGAAGCCTGTCTTCCCCTCCTAAACTCCATCTCTCTCTGTTCCCTTCTACCCAGTGTGGAAGCGGCTTTCCTCTCCTGGATTCCATCTGTCTGGATTCTCTCACCCAGTGTGAGAGTTAGCTCTTTCTTTCTCTCTCCTTCTCCTGTTTCTCACTCTCTCTCTAAATAAATCACTTTCTACAAACAGTTTTGAGTCTTGTATTTACTGCGCACTGCGCCATGGTGCCCTCTCTCATTCTTGAGAGGGCAGGAGACCAAGAACATGGAGAAACATCCTCTCAGGGGACCTGAGGGCACCCTGAGCCCCTGAACCCCAATATTACAGGAACAGCATAAGTTTAATATTTAAATCTAGAATCAGCAAGTAGCCCATATTATTCTAAGAATATTCTGCTTAATCTTGAGTTGCTTCTAATCAAGATACTTTGTAGTTTTTTCCTTCATGAATTTACTTGAAGGCCATATTACAGTCAGTTTTACAAATGCATCTTTAAAACACATTTTATTTAACTCATGTTTATTAACTATATATAAACTATATTTATTTTCAAGCATGTTGTTTTTATTTTAAGCCATAATACAGCTCTCCAAATCTTATCTCAAAATATATAAACTGAGTTTCTTTTCAATACCATAGGAAATATCCAAAACTTTAAAAATCAAAAGAACATCATACTAGAGCATTGCCGCCTAGAAATAGCCAGCTCCCAAAATGATTGTTTAAACTTTTAAAAATCATTTTATTGACATCTGCACTAATTAATCAGTTGCATAAAATCCTTGATATATATTTATTCAATATTTACATAAGAATCACATTTTTAACTTCTAAAATTAAACTTGGACATTTTTAGAGGTTATTTACAAGATGCCCAAGTGGACACATCTGCCATAGATAATCATCTGCGTTGTCAGAAAAATGCAATTTATCGTTTTTCAGGTGGAAGCCTGTGTTTTCATGATTCTCAGAATCTCGAGTGGTACTAGAACTTTATCTTTATTTCCTCCTAATTTTTTTGTTTTCATTTCTACTTCTTAGCCGAGGCTGTGAGCCTGTCTGTACGCTATTTAACTCATGATTTGAGTTCTCTTTCCCCAACCGGAGGCAAAAACTGGTAATGCATTCGCCACAACTGCACAGTTTAGGGAACATCCTGTTTGCATATGTTACTGGGTTTACATGTCTGTGATTAAGAATCTCCACCAGGATGCTAGAAATCTACCCCATCAGGTCAGAGACGATGTAAAATCTGGCTTCTTAGCTTCTTTTGTTTGTTCATTTTGCTATGTGTGAGTTCAAATCAATTACAAAATTACCCTTTCAAGAATTAAAAGTAGGAGAGACTTTTGAAACATGGATTTGTGCTTCATTTTTATCCTTCACTAGTAGCTGTGGCTGCTGAATTGAAGTAGAAAGTGATACGTCTGCAACTGAGTAAAGCCTTTACCTCTTTTTGTGTGAATTTAAAATATTTTCTTATCTCTGGGGGATATTATTACATTAGATAATAAAAACTCTCAAATTAATCACTTATATATTATACATCTAACACTCTCAGAAAATAATGAAACAGAACTTTTAATACTTTAAACCTGCTAGCCATTTGAGGAAAAAAAAATCCCCACAAAACCACTACCTAGAATCATTTTTATATAAAAATTCAAATTCATAAACTTAAGGTAAATCTTTGAACAAAGTAGACTGGCATAATAATTTTGATTTAAAAAGTGAATAAAGAACTGTACATAATTTTCATGACTTTATTAGTATTAGTATGTAGTATAAAACAGGCATACCTTTTATTTTTTTAATAGGGTTTGAGTTTTTTATTTTTTGAAGGGGCCAGTTCATCTGATTATGTACTTTTCTTTTCTTTTTAACTTTTAGATAGGAAGTTACTTTTTTGTTTTTAACTTTTGTTTTAGGTTCGGGGTAAATTCGTAGGTTTGCTTTATAGGTAAACTGTACTGTATGTCTAGGGGGTTTGGTGTATAGTTTATTTCCTTACTCAGGTAATAAGCATAGTCCTGTTGCCCTAAATACGGTTGCTGGGTCCAACGATGGCCCTGAGAAGGGCCTTTCTCCATGCCCAGCTTGGGCTCCAGGCTCAGGGTCTTGACTTCCCTTGCTCCAACAACGGATCAGAGAGCCTTGACCCCATGTTGAGTGTTACAGCTCCAAACAAGCGTTCGTGGACCACGAGAGTGAGCAGCAGTGCAGTCTATTGAGCAAGAGAAAGTGAAGCTTCCACAGGATGGAAGGGGACCCCAGGGGGCTGCCTTTGTTGTCAGGGCTGCCTGCACTTGTATCCCCAAGTAATTTCCTCCCTTTCTTGATTTTTGGCCAACAGAAGGTGTATATTTTCAATCCTCCCTCCAAATGGTGGATTTCTGGTTCCCTTTTACCGGATTGGCTTGGCAGCTCAAGACTGTTGAGTTGCTGAGTGTTTGCCCCTAGTCCTGAGCGGGGAAAGGGCCTGTGACCATGAGTCACCTAATTTCTTCTTCCTGGTGGTTGTTTCCTAGTTTTCTATTGACCTCGCAGGCAGTATCAGGATGTAGTTAAACAGTAATTTTAGTGGCTAACCGAAACTCTGAACACAGCCTCCCAGTATGGTTGAGGTACCCCTGTTGACCTTTTCCCATGCTAGAGGTTCCAAAATTTCCCCATTGACCCAAAAGGTTTTATTGCCTCAGTAGCCAATAGGTCTGCAGGTACTAAAGGAGATCCTCTCCCTTCTCCCACCCTCCACTTTCAAGTAATCCCCAGTGTTCGTTGTTCCCCTCTTTCTGTCCATGTACTCTTATTGTTTAGTTCCCATTTATAAGTGAGAACATGTGATATTTGTTTTTCGGTTTCTATGTCAGTTTTCTTAGGATAATGGCCTCTAGCTCCATCAATGTTGCTGCAAAAGGACATGATCTCATTCTTTTTTACAGCTGTGCAGTATTCCATGTGGTATATGTCCCACATTTTATTCATCCAGTCTACCACTGACAGACATTTAGGTTGATTTCATGTCTTTGCTATTGTAAATAGTGCTGTGATGAACACGTGGGTGCATGTGTCTTTATGGTAGAATGATTTATATTCCTTTGGTTACATACCCAATAATAGGATTGCAAGGACAAATGTCAGTTGTGTTTTACACTGAGCTGATTGAATTTCCCACACTGGTTTACTAATCAGAATACATCATTAATTCTACAAACTTCAGGAGTGTGAAAATGTAACACTAGGGCTTAAACAAATTAAAAGATAATTCTTCAATCTTTATATCAGCGATGTAATCCTTCTATAGTGTGTCAGCTTAAAGTACAAAATCTTTAGTTAACTAACTAAATTGAGTTAATTAATAAAGATATTTAGATACATGGATAATCTTTAAGTATAAAAGAATACTGATGGTTTCATACAAAGTGAGGCAGGCGGTGATCATATAAATATATATGAATGTGTTTATCTCGACTACTTTAAGAAGTTGTAAGAGTCACATGGGTGGCTAAAGAGGGTTGTATTGTGTATGGTTCTGAGATTTGCTTGTCTGCTAAAATGCTTGTGCAGCATATCAGACTACCCAATCAACAATATCTTGGTGTTCTCTGAGAATTAAAAGTTAATTGATTAATAACAATTTAGACTATTCTAGAAATAATAGAGGTAAAAATATAACTTTATGAAATAATGGATAGTTTTCTATCAAGAGGAAAAATGAGAGAAGTTTTGTCTGAAAGTAAATGGTCTGGTTATTTCAGAATAGGAAAAGATAAGATGGCAAGAGAAAAGTTAACTGAAGTTACAGAATGTTTTTAGAAATTTTATTTTATTTGCCTTAGCTTATAATAACTATAATTAATGTGTCTGAAAAGAAACAATAATATGTGTTAAAAATTTGGCAAAGTTCTCTCAGGTTTGATGGGCTTCTTCAGACATTTTTTAAAAGGGGGATTACAAGTCCCTTATTGCCAGATAGAAACTTAATAAAAAATTAGAAATTTGGTTTTCACTTTGTTAAAATAAAATTTATTGTAAAATATTTAATTCTCTCTTAATAATGTTATTCTTTCCTTAAAAATAGCCCAAACAACAGAGATTTTATATCACATTAGAATAATTTTAGATGCTTTGCATTAATTTTGTCACACTCTAATTTTACAAACCAATTTAAAAAATAGTAAAGGTTCCTTACTTCTGAGAAAGCTAAGTTTTCTTATAATTATATAAACTTCTATATTTAAAAAATTACCTTATGCTGATTCAATAGGTAGTCAGTGACTATTTCTGTGGTATACATGATTGTGTTGTACTCAAGTAACCAAATATCTTCTATTAACTCTTGATTTTAACCTTCCTATGATATGAGCATACATTGAGAAAAAAATACTTAGGATGAAAAAATTACAAAGATTTGCTATTTCACCTTATAACAGGAGGGATACAAGCAATAATTAGGTTTGTTTGTTAGCTTTGTATTTATTAATTAGCTGAGTACTATTGTAAGAGCTTTGTGGGAATAGTAGTTAAACCTTTGCCCTGCAAATATATGTGTGTGTGTGTGTGTGTGTGTGTGTGTGTGTGTGTGTGTGTGTATGAGACAGTAATTTACATGGAGACCCTAGAGACTTGTCAATGTACTTACTTTCCACAAGTTCTCACTTTCAGAAGCTGTTGCTTCATGCCTTATGAGAGGGTGATGCACTGTGTCTCAGCAGAGAATTTTACTTCCTCCAGTCTGATATCGTCATTTACTGTAATAAATTAACCACAACCATTTTGTTTTAACCAATGAGTTATTTCTTCTTTTTTCAATTACTTGCCTAAAGGATCTACAGGCTTGACACAGGCTACCATTTGTGTCAAAAAAAAAAAAAAAAAAAAAAAGAGAGAAGAAGAAGAAGAACAGTCTCAGGCACTCATAGAAACAACAAAAAAGACAGTATCAAATTATCAGAGAAAAAACTTCAGTCTAAGTAATGAGACTTAAAGTATACCAACTTTTAGATGGTAGCAGGATTTAAAGGACTTTTGTTTTTAGTCCAGAAGCAGACACTTTTATAAAACCAGAATAGTAGCTAAAGATACAGTGAAGAACAGATAATATATAGGACTGAATAAACTGATGTGACTGGTGATTTGTTAGAATATTGAGTTTTCTTAATGTTCTGGTTTCTCATGTATATATTAAGAAGCCCTCTCTAATGACCTCTTAGAATTCTGAAA